AAGAATAAATACTTCCAAAGAATCTGAACTACTAATACACAGCGTAACACATCTGCTGGGCTGCCAGAGCTGTTGATGAATAAGGTGCTTGCGTTGCCCACCACAAGCAACTCAAAGACCTCACTAAAAATGTGCTCAGGTTTATCTCAGCTGATCATCTGCGTAGTTTTTTATTCTGCATAGCTGACCCTTTGCTCGGTGATACTGTTGCACTGTCACACTTGGTGTAAATAGAATAATTAAAACAATCAGAATGAGATGATTAACAAAGCAGGATTGGAATCATCAAAGCATTCTTCTCAGGAGAATTAAAAACACCTAGGCAAGCAATATTATTTCACTACAAGCAGTAAGCAAGCCAAAGTTCTCAGTTGGCCCACACATGAGTTTGTTCACCTCAATGTACTGCAGCATTTCTGAGGGGTAGTCCAGTCCAATTCTGGAGAATTGAGAGTCTCCCAAGGCAAACTAAGCCTCCGACCGCTTTGCCAGTGCTGGGATGGAGCAGCAGCAGGAAGCTGATGGCCAGTAGCAGAGCTGGCACATGAAGTTATGTTGCAGCTGTGTAAAGAACAGTGCTGAGGCTGCTGTGGGAGCACAACTGCATTTCCACCAAACTTCAGCCCCAGGACTAGCTCCTGTCTTGCATGGAGAGCTTTAATATCTCTCAAGCTAAAACTCTATTTCAGAGATGGTAGAAGCAGGTGGAAATCACAGAGTACAATGCAACTGCATCCATTTTATGCTAGCTTTAATTTGGCCAGGTAACCCTAAAACTACATTATTGTACTTGTTTAGGCATGGAGATGTCTCATAAAATATTTAGCTATATGTCCTTCTAAGCCAAAGGCATGTTCCATTTTAGATATCTACAACAAGTACTGCCAAACTCAAGGAAGAGTATCACTGAACAGTTTCTGAAATTCTCGACATGTGCAAATGCCAAAGATGATTAGGAAAAAGACCCTTCCTTCTGGTAGCATTGACAGACCGTTCAATCCATAGTTCTCCACTGCGAGTTTTCCATGTTGTTTTGACAAGTTGATTTCAGTTTTAAAAATACAGGAGAAAGAACAAGATAAAAAAAAAGGGCCTAACAAGCAGAGTTAGTCACATGCAGCAAGCAGGTTATGCACCGATCTGAGGAAACAGCAAACACTACAGAGACGGGATCATTCACTGTGATGTATCTTTCGGTCGAGAGCCTGCCCCAGTTTCTGCACCTGAGCCACTACATGCAAATGGGTCCCTTTCATGCAGGTCCTTTGTGCCAGAAAGTTGTTCTTCAGCCTGCGTCACCCTCTCGACGCACCGTTTACCTGCCGGTGGGGAGACCATCTCAGATATACAAATGCCATGATGGCAGTACAAAACTGTAGTTTTGCAGCTGGGTAGCATTTTGCACCTGCAGTTTTTGCAAGGATGCAACCGTCTCCACAAGAGAAGGAAATGTTCTTAGCTTTTTTCAGGCAACCTTTATTTCACATCATTAAGGCTCTGGCCTGCTGCGAGTCGCTTTGTTTCCACTTCTAAGTTATTCTTACGCTTTTCAGTGCCTGCCCCACGCTGCTTTCCTTTCCTTTTGTTCCCTTTTGAAGGTGAACGTTGTCTGCCAGGACAAACCTTGTATTTGTTAACGCTGCTGGTTTTCTTTGATGAAAAAGCCCCTGTTTGGTTTGGGCTTGCATCTGGCTCGGCTGCCTGCTTGTTCACAGCTGGAGGGACACACAAGCCTCAGGCTTGCAGCCCTCTGCAAGACAGAGGGGAACGTGATAGCTCATTTTCCCTAAAACTTGCATGATATGTCTCCACGAACAGACCTTACAAGTGTTTCTCTACGGGTAGTTGTGGACGGCAATAATTGCTGCAATAATTCCTACTGCGAGCATGGCAGAGGTATTTGCGAGGTGGTGAATGCAGCTGCGGTCCTGGAGGTGGGTTACATGACTGGGATGGATTTGTGTGACTTTGTGCTGGGCCTGTGAGACTGGGATTGTGGGACATTGTGCAGGGCAGGAGCTCAGTCCCTCCTGTTGCCCATGAATCCTGCCTCTGTCTGGCTTGCAAAGCCTGTGGCTCCTGCCAAGCAGAAGCCAGGAAGCAGAAGGCTGTGCGGGAGGGACTCAGGGACCCCTCACACTTCAGGGCTGTCCAAGGCAGCCTTGCTTCACAGCCTGGCTGGGAGAGCAGTGCTGGCAAACCCGGCCTGACTAACACTGATGTATAAAGTAGTGATTGATAGAAAACCAAAGTACCCTCCAAAAGCTGTCCTCCTGACCCCCTCACGCAGCCAGCTGTAGGTGCTACTCTTCAGCAACACCGTACGCATGCCTCAGGCAAGAAAAGCACTTGGCTCTTGGGTTTGGTGTCTTTTGAACAATCACACATTTAGTGTACTTCAGAAACACAAAGAGCTTTAGGTGCTGCCGAGCTTAGTCACGTTAAATGTGGACTTGCACAGGAAGTCTTTTAATTAGGTTTCAAGCAGACAGAAGCAACCTCTAAGTATCACCGAAGCGCTTGCCCTGGCAATGCAGCTTTGGAGGGTGCCTATGGGCCACCTCTATTTATAGAGCGAATACAAGGGAGTTGTTTGGACGGGAACCTGCCTGACCGTGCTTGGGTGTACATACATTTGAGTCACAACGTCTGTTAACATACAGTTCCTGGTACCGGCCTCTGCCGTTTTATCTGGAGATAAGAGTTCCCGCTCCACCTGGGGCAAAGCAACTGCTGCTGGTGTCGCTGGGCTCTTCCCCCATCTTCCTGAAGGTTGCAGGACTGCAGAGTAAGCTAGAGCATCCTTGTCATGCCTAACTCTATTCATCATCAATCCAGGATAAACCAGATTTTGCTTTCTGAGTTTAGTTCTCTTTCTAAGGTGACTTCAGTGCTGCTCTCTAGGAGCAATGAGCTAGAAATGTAATAGCAAGCAACAGGTACCATCTATCACCTTCATAGCAGAATAACCTTGGATGGCTTGGAAGATCAGCATTAAGAGACACACTTCTGGCTTGCTGGTGTGAAATTAGCCCCAGGCTTTTAATAGTCAAAAGTTAATCCTACTGGTCTTTGACAGTTTTCATAAAACAGGACTGATGGTTGTAATCATCCACTACAAGAAACACCCACTCGATAATCGGGAACCTCAGCCCAGCGTTTCAGGCTTAAGTGGGTCCATGCTAGTGAAGAATTGTGTGACCTACTCTTTGGTCAAACTGAGCATTTCGCCCTCTAGGAATGTAGTTCTGTGATCTTCCAAAGCACTAAAATAACGAAACATGAACAGAAGAGAGACAATATATATGGGCTAAGGATGCCCTAAGTATCAAACAGAGAAAGGATTTCAGGGTTGATAAATGAGAGGGAATTAGAGTACACACTGATACTGTGGTAAAGATACAGCACCATGCAGGTGTGTGATGACCTGCAGATGGGGATGGCAACATTTTTTGCATCTTCTTGTGAACTGCTGGTTTTCACAAGGATTAATGCTCTGCAGGGTGCTTTTGGAGATGGTTCATATGCTGCTATCAAACCCTGACACCCACCCAGAGATTATCTGGGCATTTGCTATCCACCGAAATACCAGACACAGAATAAAGTCCACTTAAGTCCTTTACCTGAACTCAACATTAACTGACCCAAGTAGCAACTCACCATGTTTGTTTTGAAGAACCAACCACCACATCACATCGGAGGTCAGCACGAGCCTGGAAATTCCTCTTCCTTCCCATTGTATATGGCCAGGTGTTGAGCCTCCTATCCAAAAGGTCTTCCCGAGCTCCCTGACAAACCCAGCCAGGGAAGGAGGGCCTGCTTGCCTGCCCCTAGAGAGACTGATCATCAGCTTTGAGCTAGGCTCATCTTTTCGCCAGGCAGAGAAAAAGACCATTTTCATGATGTTGTTTGTAGATACAGGCGCACACCTGAAAAGCAACACTGCCCTTCAGCTACTCATACACCACTGCACGTGCTCAGCCAGCTACTCTCAGCTCTCCAGCTTTAGCTGGAGCACCTCATTATAATGACACAGAATAAGGAAAGCAAAGTTGGGTCCTACATGAAGCTGGGGACCTTTGGTTCCTAATGAGCTTCACTGATGTACAGAAGGTCTTTTGCATTCATTAAAGACAAACTAATCTCTTGTAAGTTATCATAAGAAAAACATTCCCTGTTTTTACCACACTTTTTCCTACAGTAGGCAAGACCAGAATTAGTATTCCAAGCCCTAAACTTCACTCACTACTTTTCCATAAAATAAATCAGATATTAGCATTTCAATAAAAATCAATAAATTCACATTGTATTTTTTGTATTAATAGCATCCAGCTACATGGATTAAAACTGAATAAAACTGATTGTTTCATGAGTTTAGATGAGAAAGTTTCCCATGTGCATTATAGTATGTTTATCTTACGAGGGAGTTCAGTACAGATACTTCAAGACATTGAAGAGTTCGATGCAATCATTCTGTATAAAGCTCATGAGAAATATACTTTAAAACATAAATCTACTAAATATACTTTAAAATAGAAATCTACTAACAGTTATCTCCACATGCCCATTTTAAAAAAGAAAACAAAAGAATTAATAGGAAATAAAGATTATTCCTTATTCATGCTAGGCCTGACTCCAACACTGGTAATCAGATTGACACAAATACTTTAGTTGTATTTACTGGAAGCAGTAGGACAGGCAAATATAGCCTAGCTAGAGGTGAGAGAATCCAGATTTCTCTGATTCCAAGGTTTATTATTAACAAAACCTTCAGTTACTCACACCCCACAAAATGGTTTCAGCTGAACAGTCAAACCACTACTTGGAGAAAAGCACACATGTGATAAAGAGAATGAAAAAGCTTACTGACGTGTTGATACATGCCTGATAAGGAAAACAAAAACCTACTTAAAAAAAAAACCAATAGTTGAGTTGTAGTCAAAGTCAGAAGCAGCTAAGTCAGAAGCAGCATCTAGTCCATTTTCTTTCCACATTTCGAGATGTTTGCAACAATGCTGAAGGTACTCCTCATTCTAACAACTCTTGCAGGTAAGAAAACAAACTTACTCGAGAAACGGGTCAAAAATAGGGAGCAGGCAAACCTGACTGGCAAACCAGAAGAACATTCAATGTTTATTTCTAGAGGGAATGAAAATTATGGCTATAATGCTATACCATCTCACGGAAATGAAGATCCCTCACTGATGCGTTTTTTGCTCAGGAATATGGTTTGAGCTTTGCTTACAGTAAATTAATGCTTTGCTCTAAAGCCAGGAAGAGGCAAAGAGCTCATGCCTAGACCTAAACTGTTTTGCAAGTGTTTCAAGGTTATGCTTTCTCACTTTTGGTTTTTTTTTGATAATAAGCATGGGAAATGATGCCTTGGTGATGGTTCCTTCTGATGCGATGTCTCTCATCAAAAATCAGGGAAATATTAGCATGAAAATAATCTATTGGATTTCAATGAAGTTAAGCAAGGACATAACACACTATGGAAGCGAGCATTTAGATGGCATAAGGCAGATCATATAAATCAAGGATTTGTGGTGATTATACATTATTCATTCTTTCAAGGACATTTCTCTGTCCTTTCTAATATGAACAGAAATAGGAATTTTAAGTCTAATGGTACAAGGTGAATGGACTCTGTAGCCGCTAAAGAAAATGGAAGTTGGTTTCCACACTTTCTCTTCGAGAGGGAATTTTCTGTTCGGAATTTCTTAGAAATATTTTAAGCAGTTGTTCCTGTGGTTTGCATGATCTCTCTGTCTCTCACACACACATACACAAAACCCATAGCTTTTTGCCTTAGAAATGAAAAGGAATTCAGTGTTAGTACAGATATTTGACAAACAGCAACCTCTAATTTTAAAGTTCTGGATTTAAGACTAACACTGCACCCATACTGAGGGGAACCACAAACTGGGGATTTTGCAGCAAAATTCATATTTACTAAAACTAAATTCATATTTACTCTGCTAGCATTAAAAACCTGCAGTAACTTTTCCTGTAGCAAGCATCAGCCTTATGGTAATATCGAAGAATGAGGAGATATATCAACTATTTTTAGCAACAGGTTAAGTCCTGTTCAAATTAACTTTTTCCCTAAGCTATTTCCTAGTCATACACTTTCTCTCCTTTAAGTCAACAGGACAATATGTATGAGATGGGATTATTAGTCTGAAGCTGCAAATAGTGAATTAAATGCAAAGCAAAACTCCCACTAGCTTCATCAGTGCAGGAATGGGCAGGCGGATCCAGTCTGCTCCCTGTGTAGCCAAAAACACTTCCTTACTGCTAGTGAGAGCGTTCAACAGCCTTGCTGGACAAAGACACTTTTACAGTTTCACTACAGCTGAGCAAAACTATGCCTATTCCAACTAAACATATTTGATTCCAATATACGGCTTCACGGTAACTAGCCTGTTTTGTGGAGTCACTTACACTAAAATTATTTTCCATGGGGAAAGCTTGCAATGTTCAGGCTCTATGGCATTCCTGTCTTCAGAAACATAGAAAGATGAAGGAAATATATGGTGCAAATGACTGAAAAATGAATATTTTAGTAGAATATCATTGCACTCACAGCTTTATTTCAATGAAGAACAGAAAACAAATACTTCCAGTAAACCTGGAAGTACTATCGTGGCAAGAAACTATCATCCTCTGGCAGCAATAACTGTTAAAGTTGAGGAGAAGAGTGAAGAGCAACACCTGCAATAGTATCACAGGGATATTGTATTAACAGGACGGAGTAAGCTACTGTGAACTCACAGGACAGGCAAGACCTCCAACAGCGCTGAGATCTTTCTTTCCAAGGCAAATCAACACGAAATCACACCAGCACGCAGCCATTCTCAGGAGACTAATTTTATGTGTATCTTGAAGCTTACTTGCTGCAGTTTGAGCTCACTAGCTCTCAGCCTAGCCACCACAGTCATGAAAAGTGGGTTTTTCCCTTCTTCTAATATTTGAGCCATAAAACAAGGAGAACAGGCTTCTGCCCCAAAGACATAGATTTACATGTTCTAGGAGCCGATGAATCTGGAATATTTACAGGGTTCAAATGATTACAATGAAAATGCTTAAAATGAAATAATTGATATTTCTTTTGTAAACAATGTTTCCTCTCATATGGTTGATAATCTGAGCAAAAGACTCTTTTTGATGTTACTGAAAGTTCTGCTGGAGCTCTCAAAGGCAGTGCCTTAAGAGGCACAGATATTCCATTACGATAAGAACATTTTGCATGTCTTGCCTCTGTCGTTCATCCATCCACAGGAAGTTACCTACTATGACGTTGTCGTCTCAGTTATTGTTATATTTCACCACAGAAAGTTCCAAAAGACTTATATTTTCCAACATGAAATATTTTCACCTTCAGCATCTTTTGATGGTAGCTTTAAAACTGGACTCAACACTCCAGCAAAAGCCTGAAATTCGGACTTTCACTGAGTCATGTCACCAATTCAATTAACATCAGTGGAGAACAGAAAGGGACTAATGCACAGTTCCTGTCATTAACATGGCTCTGTAGGCAGGACCGATCAGAGCATTATGTGTTTGCTCCCTTTTTGTTCAGAGCACGCTAGAAAGGGTGGATCAGATTTCCCTCGAATTTCTCATAACCTACACAGTAAAAGCAGTTCCAAAGGTTTAGCTTGAGATTTGCAATACAGAGGCATCAGAAGTGAAAGACTTGGGCATATGAGCACTAAGAAGCCTAAGCAAAAGCAAAGTGAATGGCAAAGGAAAACAGGGAAAGCTGCAGGATCCCAGGCTGGGGGAACATGGCAGCACTGATAACTCAGAGATGGGATACAGGAATGTAAGTAGCTGGCTGCAGCAGATGGTAGAGAAGATGAGACCTCAGAAGGATAGCTGTGAAAAAAGAGGGCGAGAAAGGTGTAAAAGAAGGTTAGAGACAGCGCAAATGAGAATGTGAAGTTCAGAAGCTCACTAAGAGTGTGGAATGAAGGTCTGGTTTGGCTGCAGTCTCTTAGTGAGAAATACAAGTCTCTGCAGGTAAGAACAAGTATCTTTTAGGGTCTCTCTTTTTTGAAATCTTATTTGTTTTAAGGGGCCAGGAGTTCTTGGAGATTTATTTCTTTGTTAGCTTTTACTCACTTCCAGTTTGTTATCACTGAAATTTCCACACAAAGCCCAAGGCCAACCGTTCTGAACAGAGCAGCGCTGGACACGTACAGGTTTCTCTCCCAAGGCCGGGTGTGAGGAAGCTCAGCCCAGCTGACGGGGCAGCCCTGCTGATGCTTCTCCCCTATCCTCGTTTTGGCAGGTCTCGGTGTCAGCAGCATCGTGGTGACCATTCCACAGCAGACGGTGAATGTCACGGCAGGCAGCAACGCAACTCTCCTCTGCACGTTCACGGGCTATGAGCCGCAGGGAAACGTCTTAATTCAGTGGAGTTTTTACAGTGCCAAAGAGAGCGAACTGCATTTAGTAAGATATTTATTTATTATTGATATGAAGATATATTTAATACATCCCTTAAGTCCTTATAAGGGCCTGTTTTATATTACCTTTGCCAAGAATATTGTTACATTTAATAGAATTTTCCTTACTACAAACCTGGGAGGCAGGTAACATTGATATTCCTACCTTAAAGACAAGGGACGATGAAATTAAGGGCCAGATGCACAAAGTATCTTGGCTCCTGGCATGCCTGAACTCTTACAGAAACTTATGGGAAGGTACAGCCACATCTACCAGAGGACCTAGGTGCTTAGATACCTTGCTCCAAGTTAGGCAGGAAACTTGGAATGCAGCAAAGAGCAGGTACCCAAAACCCATGCTCGTGCTCTGGCTCCCAGACCAGCTCCTTTTTCTCTTGCCCAGGAGATAACTCCTCTATTGCCAGGATCACTTCCCGAGTAAAACAGTCTTGCCTTGACAGTACAATCCCCATTTAAGGGTGAAATAAGAGCTCCCTGGCTCAGCCATTACCATCGACATCGCACAGCTCAGTGACAGGGACAGTAGGTAACAACAGACTCTCCAGAAATGTGTTCTGCCAGGAAAGCAGCCACAGCAAACTTGCATCAGGGCTTGTAGCATCCTCACGGATAGCACTGCGGCAGCAGAACAACTATATATCAAGTACAGATATATACCACATATATATCTGTACCACCTAGTAGGATGGAGCTTAGCACAGACACGGCACTGTGCTCTGAGGGGCACCAAGCACTCCAGAGCTACGTGCCTTGAAGTGGCACGTGGGGCTGCAAAGAGCAGCCCGGTCCTACCTGGGAGAAGTCAGGATGGGCTGTGCAACCTCCTATAGAACGTACTCACTGCAGTGCCCAGATTTGAAGAGATATCAGTTCATCCCATGTTTTTTGTGGTGAAACAAATCCCTGAATCTCGCCTCAAGAGCAATATGCAGACCATGTCAGCAGGCCTGAAAGGTGCTGAGCAATCAGCACCACCCTTCCTCTGGAAGGAGAAATGCTGATTAGAAGTGCTACTACATCCTTCAAGATGACTGTGATTTTTTTCAACGCCCTAGTGCTGACTGGCACTGTTCAGATAGGCCATCCCTCCCTTTTCTCTCCTAGTTTCCACCTTGCAGCTAACACTTTTCTTTGGAAAGCTCAAGCTTCTGCTTGACGTTACCCTGAGAACTGGTATAAACAAATCAGAATAACTTACACCAGCGGTGTGCTCCACACGGATGATACTCCTGTCAGGATAAGAACTTCCTAATGATATTACATTAGAAGGTTTGCTGTCAGTCACAGATTCACACCTTTGATTTGGTTTATAAATCATGGTAGGATGAGACTGTAATTTGCAGAATGTACAATACAAAATGTCTTCAGCATCAGACAGAAACAGCCAAAATGTTAGAAATATCAATTTAACAGATTGAAGGCTCACCCAGTGCAGCATATCTGAGCCCTTGCTAAGGACTGTATCCCTGATTAAGTGCACACTGTGGGCCCACCCCGGACCTGACTCTAACTGAATGCCGGCCTGATACACAGACGCCTTGCCTGACTAATTGTATGAAGAGTCATTACTCATATAGTTGGCTTTTTCAAGTCAAAACTATTTTCATAGTGAAATATTCATGAAAGGGTGGTAGCTTCAGATTTTCTAGTTAAGTTGTACATAGTATAATGTAATTATACTATTATTCTTACACATATAGTATAATATGACTAATTTTGGTCCACTGTGTTGTATCATAAATTCTAATCACTCATTCAGGTTGGGAGCGCAGCCCGGGGAGAGGATCAAGCCTATCTTCTACAGATTTGCTTAGGCTCTCTCCGTTTTACTGGCATCAAATTTTTCATGATGCAAGGGAGTAAATAAAATATATTTTCTGTTTACAACCAAGACCGATGAGCAGACAGAGCAAGTTGCAGTTGCAAGACAGCTTGGAGGGAGAACCAAGAGATCCAGGAGGGGAAAACTATTTGTAAATTGTGACCAGTGATGAGAGAACACCCTGTGAGGATTGTAAGCTGAAAACACCATGGGTGGTTCAGAGTATTTTCAGCAAGGACTAACTAAATGTCAGGGAAACGCTATGGATCAATCCTTTCAGCACTCGCCCTCAGCTACACCTCCCACAGAGGCCAATGGGAAGGTTGTGCCCGGGAGGGCTGCAGTAAACCCTATGGGGGGAAAACTGCCATGTGAAACTCATTTCATGCTAAATTGACTTGCTCACCACAACACGCAGGCATTTGTAATGGATGGGTCGTGTTTTCATTGAATAAAGCCCCACAGCCCCCCTATCACATAGCCCTCATCTGCTTCCAGCACGGCAACTCCTTACCACGCGGAATCCCTTCACAGCAAAACTAACCGCGTTCATACAAACACTGAGGAAGGCCAGGGCCTGCCTATGGAAAACAGCCATGTGAGGAAATTATTCAATATGGCTGAACATGAAACCGGATATCCAACCTCTCTTTAAACACAGAGCAATCGGAGGTTGCTATTTCCATTCCAGGCGAGTGGCTTTTCTGGGCTTCAGAAGGGACGGAGCGGGTGAAAGCATGTCTGTTTTGTCTGCCAGGAGCTCTAACCAAAAAGCATCTCTCTCCCTATAAACCTGGCCTTGCCTTGGTTCTTTGGCATGAAGCTGAAGTTTCCTATTTTATTCCAAGTAGAAAATCCAGGCCTAAAAATGCATGGCAGTGCTGGAGACCGCCTGCTATGGCTCACATTGTCTAAAGTATATTAAAATGGCAAATCAAAAATATATCTAACATACTGATTAGCTGACAAAAACATCTGAATTGAATAAAAGTAAGTCTTCTAAATACCAAACAGTAGCTTGCCTTTCAGGTGTAATGAAAATTATTTAATTTTATTAGATATTTTTCCTAAAATAATGTAAATACATAAATATTGTCTTACAAATAGCCTATATTTCCCTGAAAAGATTGGTTGAAAATTCTAGTTTTGTTCATAGTTTGCCCTTTTTTCAACAGCTAAATGTATAATGTTTTCTGCCAAGTATTTTGAAGAGAGGATGAAACTCAGATTAAAAAAAAAAAGGCAAGAAATACTCATTCCATCTGTCTCAATGAGCTGTTATTCAGGTGATAGGTATGACTGCAGCAATATGATTAAGGAGGAGATATTCCCTATAATAGAGAAAATCTTGCTTTTAATAAAAAACATTTATTTACAGAATTGGCAATACAGCCCTTTTTCTCCACAGAGACAGAAAACAAGAGTGCAAGCTATTAGGATTAATTAAGGCCTACTTATGTCATTAAAATGCTTTAAGCCGAAGCACTACTGAAGTTGAGCCTTAAATTACTAGATTTTAAGACATAAAATGTAACAAGCATGGAGGCCATAGGTACCCGTTCTAAAAAGTGTCACAGGACTTACAGTATAGATTTTGCAGTGCTTTGAAATATGTCAGCTCAGCTACGATCCTGACTTGAGTGAAACTAATAAGATGACAATCAGAGGAGTTGCTAGCATTAATTTAATGCCCCGGAGTTTTCAGTAACAGTATTTACCTTGCTTCAAGGTCAGGCATGGCAGTTCGCAGGCCAGATGCAGCACCCATTTCCAGCCCTGGTTTTGTGCAGCTGGTAGGTGCTCTTTGCTGTTTGTTCTGGTGTTTTCAGATCCTGGGCTGCTGTGCCCACCTTGCACAGTGCTGGGGCAGGTGCTCAGCACTGACAGTTACAAGGGAGAAGACAAAATACCACAGAGCAGCTGTTCGCAGAGCGGGTGATGAGGCGTGAGGCAGCAGTTTGCACTCCATGCAGGTAGATACGGTGTGTGCATACGTGTGTGTAGCACATCTCCACTAACTGGAGTCTAACTTCTCTTCCTGAGAAGTTTCTCCATTTCCCTTATCTGAAATAAATATTGTAAATATCAGCAAATGGAAAGTAGGACGCCATGAGTAGTCTTTCCTTCTTCCCATTTACTCCCTAGCAATATGTCTTTTCAATTAGCATATTTTATTTTTAAATAACAATTCCCAGCCAAGGATCTTGAGAACTTTCCAAATACTGAACAATCCCCATTTTACCTACAGACAAACTGAGGCAAAAACTAGTTACTTGTTTCCTGCCAGGTACCGCAATACATCTCATCCTGGCTTGGTTCGTAAGCTGGAGTCCCAAGCCCTACCAAGATTTACATCCGTGCTTCATTTTATTCACCGTGAGTCGCTTGGCTGACTGGAGTGTAAGGCACACAGCAGAGGGCTCAGGAGGCTGCTGCAGCCTTGTGAAGCTGAACACGGCTCCCCACACTGGGCAGAGCCCGGCTGGCAATGCCAGTGACAGCAAGGGAAATACCCCACGGCTATGCGGCCGGCCAAAATACGCCTGGGCAGGATTCCCGATAGAAGTTTTAGATTAAATGCTAGACAAGTCAAGGAAATCAACTACTATAATTTGTAAGAGAACCTAATTATTGACAGGCCTGTCACAAAAATGTTTTCTAAAAAAAGCAGGCTTGAAATATTTGCATATGGTGATATTGACACTGCTTTGGTAAAGCCACTGATGGACAGCTGGAAAGGCAAGAGTGTTAACAGTATGCAACAGCAAAAATATCTTCTATTTAATTTATAAAGTAGCTTTCATCCTGAAGGAGCCCTGCATTTTCCCCCTAGCTATACTACCAAGCAAGTATCACCCAGCTTCCAGAGGGAAGGAGGGTCTTGTGTGTGTTTTCCAGTGAACAAGGGCCACATGCAGCTCTTCCCCAAAGAGAAGGACAGTTGGATCTTTCTAACCAGGCTTTAAGACCTGACCACTTTCCAAAATCTTCATGGGAAGGAGCCATCTTGTGCTCTGCAGCTCAGGAAGCGGGGAGACAACGCGAGTCCTAAGGAACAGCTCATGGTGGGGAACTTAGTCTGAAAAGAGATGAAGAAAGTAACCTGAGCACAGCCCTCTGCTCCTTTCACCTGGAACCCTGAGCTTGATCAATCCAGATTACCA